CAGTTTCCTGTCTTGTGCAGCAATAGACCAGTCGTGGGCAGAGTGCCTGGGCCTAATGAGGACAAAGGCCTTCTGAATCTTGCGGGCATCAAGGTCAACTACTGTTGCAGGTCGCCTCCAGCCCTTTAGAACTCGAAATGCACTGACACTGCGGATGTGTGTCTTGATGGGGCTGCCCTCGCATTCTCTAGCTGCATGACCCCAAAAGGACCAGTATCGCTTAAGCCACTGTCGACTCCATTGGGGCATTTTGGGGAGCCTATCACATAGTAAGCGAACTGCCCTACGTCTTGATACCTCATTGGAGACCCAATCTAAAAGAGGATCGGTGGGAAGCCTCAACAAACTCAGGAGGAGAGTATTGCGCATTGCATCAACTTTCTTAAGCAAGGTTACAGTTGGGAAAACCGCCGGAGAAGCCCACAACCAACGCGAGCTGATATAAGTCTGGAAAATGGAAACCTTAGTATCTAGGGCAGCTGTCGGGGAGTCCATAAGTTTCTTAAAGGCATAGTAACTACTCTGGGTCTTGCGGAGGCAGTGGAAGAGCACATCCTCCCCCGTTGTTTCATAGCCTAGGGGAATTCCCAAAAACAAAAAGACGTCAGTCGAAGCGAGTGGTTGTGGATGTCGCAATCCCCATACCCTCGGAACCTCTCCGTTGAGGCCTCTAAGCACAGAACACTTACGTAAATTGAGCGAAAGTCCAATGGCATCCAAAGCCCTTTGCACCGACCGGAGCCTCTGTTGGAGGTCCAGTGGGCTACGTCCAAAAAGGAGAATATCGTCGGCATAAATAAGCATGGGAGGGATATAAACCCCATGAATTTTAATAGGGTCGGACTCGAGGCTTCGGATGATGGGGTCTAGAGCCCAGACGAACTCTGCTAAAGAGCTCCGCGCTATATGATGTGCCCTGAAGTATACCACGTCCTAAGCCTTGCTTCCAGCTTTCCCCTCCTACTTCCAGAACGACTTCATTGTCGGACAGTAGCTTCCAAAGGGCGTACGAGTCACGAGATGGTGCAGCTTGCATTAAGTACTGAATAATGGCCTTATGGGAAAGAGAGTCAAATGCAGCACGAATATCTGATTTAGCACGCGAACTGGCCAAAATGGCCGCTCTTGCTGAATTGATTCCATCCATAGCTTGCCTGCCCGGCTGACATCCAAGTTGGAGTGAATGACAAGGAGGGGTAAGTTTGCGCAAACGATGAATCAGGACCCTGCCAAAAAGTTTAGCACAGGTGCAGGTAAGACAGATGGGACGAAGGTCGGCGGGCCCGACAGGTAGCTTAACTTTAGGGAGAAAGGACACTCTGCCTCTGCGCCAGCTTGCAGGCACTTCTCCTGTGCTCAATATATCGTTGAAAAACTTGCAGAAGGCGTATTTGAATTCCGAATTAAGAATGCAGCGAAGCATGCTATATGGAACACCATCCTCTCCCGCGCAAGTGCGGTCGTCAAGCTTGGATAGATGGCGCAATAATTCATCGCAGGTGATCGGCGGGGAGGGTGCATCAGCATGCCGTTCCAGCAGTTTGGCAACAAACGGCGCAATGGGGGTGGGATGTGGCTCTTTGAGCTTGTGTTGATCCCCCTGCTCGTTGCAAGAAGCCCGCATCCGTGGAAGAGGCTGCTGAACTACGCTTCAGAAAGCCAATGGCCGATCTATCTCCATTCTGAGCCTTCTCAAGCAAGGAGGTTTTATGGTCGATCCTAGCCTGGAGTCGGAGCCTATGGATGTCGCTTACCAGCTTCTCTCGCTCAGCGAGGTCCTGACATTCTTTCCGGGCGGAAATGGCTGCTTTGACACACGGAGGATCCCTATAGCGATGAGACGGCGGCTTTCTCGACGTGGCTTTTCGAACTCTCTCCAAAATATCCAAGTCAAAACGGAGGTTCCCTACTTGTTCGACCACACTAGCAAAGTCCACAGCATCCGTCTCCCATCTACCGCAAAGCGTCTTCCTATACAATGGCCTAAGAAAGGGCGTCTTAGAGGAGCATAGGAGCTCTAGGGCATTATGGTCACTAGGCAACGACATGCGGAGAGCACAGTTATTGCGCACCTCAAAGCGGACCCCCATCCCCCTCGTAAACAGAAAGTCTATCTTAGACGAACAACCTCGAGCAAACCAAGTGTCCCCCTCAAAGGCCTGTGCTCTGAGGTCATGCTGGCAAATTAGGGTGCGGAAGTGTGGCATCTCAGGGAAAGAATCATAATGCAGTGTGTAATCCTGATTCAAGTCTGTAGAGAGCAGCACCAGGTCCTCGGGGACAGTCGGGCAGCAAGTTCTTTGGAGGCCCGATCCCAAACTTCCCGTGCGTCCGGCCTTTTACTATGAGGAAAATGCATAGTGATTAAGTGAATTGGCTTACCGTTCTTAGGCCGAATCGAAAGAGCCAAACCCGCGGACATAGCAGTGGCAGAATCAACTACGTCCGCAAAAGGCTGACGAACCGCAATGCACAGTTGCCTACAGCAGTCCGCCGAATCCACGTGAAAGCAGGGATACTGGTGATTTCCTACCGTTACGGTTAGGTTCTGTACTTCGTGGGAAGGGCCCTGACCTAGTCCCCCTACTTCTTGTAGGAGCAAAAAGTCAGGAGTGTGGGTGGCCCCTTCTATGGAGTCCAAAACATCCTGCAGCGATTTGCCACGGACATTCCAATGCAAAAAACGTGCATCATGAATTCCGTAATTAACCTGTCTTCTTACTGGGGCTGCTTCATCCCTGCCTACGTCCTAGCCCTGAAACCTGTTGAGCACTTCGCTGGTGCTCATCCCCAAGGTTCTGGCTGCCAAAGCTGCATCGACGTACCACCCAGTATGGTTCCCTTTAACATCGGTGTGCATGTAGCTGTCAGGCGGCGCTGGCCTGTCCGAAGCATGGAACAGGACATCCTGGGCATCAAAGTACACCCGTCCCTTCCAATCGAACTCAGTGCGTTCTGGTCCACTCAGTGCTTCGAGGACATCCTTTGTTCTAAGTATGCTCCTAATTTTCTGTCGTTCCTCTGGAGACCTGTTGCGTTGGATCCAAAGCTTAGCCTGTCCTTGGCCTGGAATGTCACTCTTCGTGTAGGCTCCCTTAAGCGCCTGAAGTACTTGTCCCTGAATTTTCCGCCTCTCGGAAAGGTCTGCCCTATCAGGGAAATGCAGTACGATGCGTGCGATGTTGCTGCGTGTGTAAGGCACATAAACCTCTTGCAACAGCTGAGCCCCTTGTTGTTTCTCAAAGAACTCCGTGATCTCTCTTTGAATCTCAGACCTCTTAGCGTTCACATACCCCCCAACCACAATCTGAAGGTCATCTACCGGTCTCCCACCAACCGAAGAGGCTGTAGTCGAGCCAAGCCCTCTGGAAGGTTCCCCTCTTGGGGTGATGGGGGAGACTGAACGACTCTTAATACTTGCCAATTCTCTCTCAAGTTGAACCAGGCGGCTTTCATGATCAGTGTGCAATTTTTCATGATGCTCTGTGCGTGTCTGAAGTGTAGAGAGGACAGCTCCATGTTGTTTTGTCGTAGCAGAACAAGCCCCCTATCTCTTGTATGAAAAGGTCCTGTTGTTGGACTAGTCTCGTAATATCAGCCTGTAGTGCTGGGAGCCAAGGGGGCGTGTGGTTGTTCAGGTCAGCCGAGAGGCCTCTTGTGCCATCTAAGTAAGTGCCCGACCCTGTAGGGGGGTGAGGGGGATCATACCGTGGGTTTCCAGTATGCACCGGTTCTACTACCTGTGGTGCCAAATTGCCTGAATTCAGCAAACCTTCGCCCCCTGACACTTGCACCGAATTAACCCCATTAGTTGCGTGTGCTGGTGGTACAGCAGAGCATGAACCTGAAGCGCCAGAACCTGGAATGTTTCCAAACAGGGTTCCTGCAAAGTGGGGGGGATGCAAAGTACCCAAATGAGGGGCTCGGGAGTGCTCAGCTACGTGGGAGGCGCCAGACTCTCTTGTGGCCCCAAATTCCGGACAGTTCTTTCTCTCAAAGGCCTCAACTGCAGCTTTCTCTGCATGATTAAGGTCATCATCATCGAGGTCTCCCTTGGTCAGATCAAATTCCGGGATTACATCTTGGCTTGCAGGACTAGCATGTACGCGTCTACGAAGAGGAGAGTCCATCTGACCTTCCAATGCAGCTTGCTCAGCTGTCCTGGCACGTGTGCTGTCTACCTGCATGGGCACTCCCGCAATTGCCTCTGTTGCTGTTTGGACATGTTCTGACCCCAAGGCTGCTGCAAGGGCATCTCTGCTGGCCGCTACCATACGGGGAGAGGGTGGGGCGATAAAATCGTTAGAATGACCTTCCGGCGGGGTGACATGTCCGACGCCTGCTCCCTCTAGGTGCTCCTCAGCCACTGACGTGATCCCTGCTAAGAGGCCTTCACCCGACATGACGACGTAGTACAGCTCAGGACGAAGCAACTAAGGGCTGACGCCTACCAGCAACCAACCAGAGACAGTCGGACAAAGCCTCACAAACCGGTCCCAGTCACGGAAATAAAGGGAAGGGAGGAGTTCGGAAAGAGGCGGGGGGGGGACAACCTCTTCCTACGACTGCAGCAGGCAATAGGCCGGGGTTACACGGCACCTTGAGCCAAAATGGCTTGAGCCAAAATGGCTACGGTGAGGGTTTAGGGTTTCAGGGTGTAGGGTCTTGGGCTCTGGTTTAGGATTTCGGGCTTCGCTTGAAATAGGTACAGCAATGAGCCTAACATCTTTGAGGCCCGTGCGTGTCCAGGCTTGAACCCGAAAGTCCTAAAGCTTAGGCCCAGGACCTCAGCAGGCCCTATAGCTTGATAGTTAGATCCGGGTCTGGGGGGTATGTTGTAGTATACTTCTGAAGGGACTATAAGGGATCTTACTACTAGAGAGATCATCTAAGACCTGTATCACTGTCTCTTAAAGCCCCAGACCCTGAACTTCGAAGCGCGCTAAAACCCCTGCCAAACCCCAAATTCGCGGGACCCACCCCACAAGGAAAAGCCATGCCTGTGCCGTCAGTCTGAGTAAAGCACCTCAAGCAAGTCTTTGAAAGGGTGCTGTGTTGCTGCCTCCCAGCTAGCATTTTGAGTTTCGGCTTGGGGTTTTCATAATGTAGGGGCCACAGTAATTAGAATAGGGTTCTGGGGCCCGCCATACCATAATGATAACAAGGAAACCCCAAGGTAGTATAGGTAATCATTAAGGCCCCCCACATTAGACTCTGAACTTTCTGTGTCAGGTCTCGGGTTTCGGAATTAGGGTTCGGACGTCTTGTGTTGAGGGTATGGGGATGCTTCTAATGGGCCCTGCCTAGTGTATGACAGGTCTCAAGGTACAGGATTTATGAACATTCTGTGGTATGGCTTACCTAAATCTCTGGCTCCGTAACAGCAAGGGACCATCGTTTCCTCTATGTCCTGGCCACAGGACGGGTACTGCACCTCTCACTCTCTCGCTCGTTCTTTTTCTCGGGCCTAACGGTCCGGTCAAGGACACCCGCCCTCAAGGGGCGTCATTGTTGTGGGGTATTTCGGCGATCGATCTATATCCCAGTCTCTCTCTCGCTCTCTCTGTTGGTATGTCTCTGAACCGCGACATGCACAGTCCAATGACCATGCACCATCAGATCCATGTTAAATCAACCCATATGCCTTTCTAGCAGTCGCAGATGTCACAGCTTTACGATATGCTAGTAGATGTGGGCACACACAATCAAAAACATAGACGAGACGCAAAGGAAGCTGGTCACAGGTCAAGCAAACACATACAAAAAATCCTGGATGCAACAACCGTGTAAGTCTCGAATTGCTGCAGACCCACATCTAGAGCGAAAACTCCAAAATACACCGAAACCCACAGACGTACTTCCCCCCAGACCCTAAGCCCTTGATTGGCCCAACAGAGCCACAGCATAAGCGCAAACCATTCGTGCAAGCCCCGATCAGCCTCAAACCCCAAACACCGGAGCCGACATTGACTTCGTAGACCTGAATGAACCCGACATCCCACACCCCATGCCCTATGTCACCCTACATCCAGAACCCAACCTTCCAAGTTTAAGCCCTTGAAAAAAGGTCGGCTCAAGCTCCAACTCAAAGCCACGCTGAGGCTGCAGCTGCTGCCGTTGCTGCTTTCGCTCTGTGGCCGCGTACTCCGTGGGACGGTGGTGCGGTCGCTGAGGCGGCTGTGGCTCCTGAAGAATTGGCAGCCCGAAACTGTACCCGCTAAGTGGTTCATTAGCATGTTTCAAGACTTCAGGAAGTAATCAGAGGTGCCCTGAAGATCACGAAGGCACATTTGAAAGGTTCATCTCCCTCTGAATAGCAACTTTCGGCAACTCGCAGACGGCCCGCAAACAACTTGTGGAAGGGGTGGTGACAAGGGACTGCCCAAACACTCTTTTTCAACTGCCACACTAGCTCACTAGCTGTTGCCATGCTGCATGTGGGGGTTTCCAAAAATAGGGGACCCTAATATAGCACCCTAACTAGTAGGATCCTTATTATAAGGACCCCCAAATAAGGTCCCCCTATTTTTTGGAAACTCCCATATTATCAGAGCTTCAGCATCGCTAAGAGCAACATGCCAAACTCCTGAAGCCCGCAACCAGCAATTCTATGTGGAGCTGCTCCCTCAATGCTTTCACGCGATTGCAGCCCGGTCCTTTCCCCCAGTGGCTCGAAAGACTCGTCCAGGATGCAAAACTCTACGTAGAAGGCGTCCTGCGTGCAAAGCGGAACAATTGGGGGCCTGACCAACACAATTTTTCCCCTGAATATATCTGCTTCAACCGCGACGAACTGCAACAAGTATCCCTGGTAACCGAAAAACCTTCGACTCCGACATTCCAAGCAAGGCAGCCTGCAGGCTTAACCTAAGACTCTCATCTACCAGCCTTCAACAAGACCAGTAAGATCCCAAATATCAGAATCGGCACCTATAGTATCGCTACCGCAGTTGGGTGGGTCCACGCAGGGATTGCCAAAGAGTCTGCATGGACCAACAACTGTCTGGTGCTTAGTAGGGAATGGGGGAATGGATCCCTATGATAGTCCCTTAAGGTCCCTTATAGTAGTCCCTATAACCCATTCCCCCATTCCCTACTAAACACCAGACAGACAATCTAGGCTAGGATTCCGCATGAAGCGCTAAGCTCTAGCTGGCTCTTGACATCCAGACTCAGAGCTTCGTCGTACTTCTTATTGCAGTAAATGCGGGGGGGGGTTCCGAAAATAGGGGAGCCTAATATATAGCCTTAAATACTAGGATCCTTATTATGAGGATCCCAAAATAAGGTACTTCTTACTGCAGTAAAACGTAGACGAAGGAAAACCTACCTGCAAGACTCAACCCAGACTGTCTGGTGCTTAGTAGGGAATGGGGGAATGGGTTATAGGGACTACTATAAGGGACCTTAAGGGACTATCATAGGGATCCATTCCCCCATTCCCTACTACTAAGCACCAGACAGAAGAAGCCCGAAGCCCTGACCTGAAACCCCAAAAGCCGGGCCCTGCACCCTAACAAAAAACCTTATCAACTACACATGGGAGTTCCGAAAACAAGGGGTACCTTATGGGTACCTTATTTTGCGGTCCTTATAATAAGGATCCTACTATTTAGGGTACTATATTAGGGTCCCCTATTTTTAGAAACCCCCACATATTTCCACGACAAACCATGTAAACCTATCCATTTATTACAACCAACAAACATCGCAGACCCCAAGAAGGTCCTCGGAAGAATCCCCACTCGCCCCACACCCTAAACCCCGAAACATCCCTAAAAGCCCTATATAATCCCTAAACACCCCTAAAAGCCCTATATAACCCCTAAAAATCCCTAAAAGCCCTATATAACCCCTAGACATCCCTAAAAGCCCGAAGCCCTAAACATCCCTTTTGGCCCTGGGCAGTCCCGTGAATCGAGCCGAGCTCGGCCCAGCCAGTCTAACGACTCCACGGCCTCCCAGGACGGGAGGAAGAGCGGCGGGGAGGAGGGCTGAGAGGTTTTTCGGGTTTCATTAGGAGTTTAGGGACGTAGGCTTAGAGGTTTTAGGGTTTTAGGGCAGAGGGCTACCTAAACCCTAAACCCTAAACCCTAAACCCTAGGAGGTGCTAGGTTTCAGGGTCGGTTTGAGGATGAGGGCTTGTTGGAGGTTCTCTTTGTCCGGGATAGGAGCCGATGAGGGCTTGGAGGAGATGATCCCGGGCGTGTTAGGTTTTAGGTTTGGGTTCTGGGGCTGGGCTGACTTGGTTAGGCTTTTAGGGTTGGATCCCTAAACCCTAAAACCCTAAACCGTAAACCCTAAACCCTAAACCCTAAACCCCTAAACCCTAGGGCATAGGAGCTATAGGGCATGAGGGTCCAGGTCTAGAGCCTGGCTTGTTGAACCTAACACTCCCAGTTTGAGGCATCATGTTTTCTGCTTAAGCTTTCGAGGTCCCGTTACAGTGTGAGAAGCAAAGTGAAGGGCCTGGTTTGAGGCTTAGTGACGGTTAAGGGCCTCGATGGGTTAGGGTGTAAGGTTCAGGGATGAGGGTCTCGCGCTCCGGGCTTGGGGCATGAGATGTGGTGTTTATGCGCTCGCCTTTCGGGTTTAAGGTCTATGGGCCTTGTTCAGGTGCAGGCGGCCAGGGGGCTAATGAGACTTCGGTGGATTATGGCGGCTATGCTCTCTCGAACCCCTAAGTTCAATGGCTTGGAGTCCACTTCTCCACATGAAACCTGTGAACATCACTCATCCGTGGTCCTTCCCAAGGCCCACCCGAACCCGAAGCGACAGTGCCTCATCGCCCATGTGCATCTTCACCGCAAGCGCCCTGTACTCGCCTTTCATCAGGCTTGACAATACAGACGTCTGGATAACGAAAAATGATGATAATAACAGCACCATATAGCCCCCACATATCTGTATCTATTTTGTATATATATATATACATACATGTTCACACACACACATATACCTATAAACATGCCTATGCACATGCACATTCATGTACACATACATGTACACCCACATATACCTATACCGGCAGCTGCACATGCACATGTACGCATAGACATAGACACAGCTTTGCATACATACATACATACATACATACATACATACATACATACCTACATACATACATACATACATACATACATACATACATACATACGTACATAAATACGCACATAACTACATACATAACTACATACATACATNNACATACAGACATACACACATACATAGGTCTTCTCCTGCTTCCCACCGACCCCTTTGCAGTAAGAAGGTAACAGGAGCCGAAATTCGGAGGCTTTTGGAATTCAGTTCTAGGGCCCAAGGATATGGATTCACGGGAGCATGGCTCACGGGGCCTCGGATGTAAGACCATGTTTCTTTTCGTGCATGTGACATGTGTGTTTAAATTACGATATGTTCTCAGGAGTATGCTCAAATGTCTTGTTCTTCTTGTTCGTGCGTTCACTCCTCGGCCGTTGCTGTGCACCGAGGGTTTCCCAGCCGAGTCGCGGGTGATGCTCTCACAGGCCTCTCGCACACGGCCTCAGAAGGGCTGCAGTCGTTTGGGCTATCGAAACCGGACCCGTGCCTCCCCCAAAACCCGACACCTGAACCGTTTGTTCCTTCTGAGCTCGGGAGTTTGGAGGCTTTTGGCATATGGTTTTGGTGTGCCAGAGGGCACATGGTCGACGGGGTTTTGGGCTCTTCGGGTAACCCAAAAAGCGGTAGCCGCACGCTTTGGTCGGGTCGTCGGGTTCGTAGATCAAGGGTTACCCAGGTAACCAACAACTCGCTTTTAATGGCCTCTACGTTAGATTGCGGGTGTAGTATGTGTACATGAATGTACCTCTCTCACTATATATATGCATGTATATGTAAATAAATAAATAAATATATATATATATATATACATATATATATACATATGTCTACAGACATACATACGTGCACACAAACACACGTGTGGAGCGTCTTAGTATGACAACCCCTGACAAAGAGGGTTGTGGGTTGTCTCTGCAGGGCTTCGGTAGGTAGACACCCTAAACCCATACAGGCCCATGCATAGGCTGAAGTCTCCCATCACCCGAACTTGCGAAGCCGAAATGCTGGAAGCGTGGCGGTTTAGGCTTTAAGGCTCTTGAGGGCTGAAAAGCTGTACTGCTTGTGGCTTGCAGGGGTATGGGCCCACGCCCGGCCCTCAACAGTTGCCAACTCGGCTGCTCCGCAATGCGGCGCCCTGCCAGACCTGTATCTGTGCTAGGCTCGCGGCGGTTGGCATCGTCTAATGCACGGGTGTGCAGGCGAAAGTGCTTCCTCCAAGAAGCATTAGATCATCCGCGCCCGAAGCCCCTCAAAACCTAGCCCGAAGCCTCAAATCAAGAAAATACTCAAATCCCTCACTCATCAGCAAGACCCGTACTCCGGACCGAAATGCTGCACAAGATCCAAACAACTCAGCTACTGCAATCCCTTCTGTCTTAAGCCCAACCCATCTGGCTCCCTGTTGGGGCTATATTAAAATCATCATGTCTAATCCTTATGGAATTATTGATATTTTGATTATAACAAAAATGTAAATAATATTTCTATTATAACAAACATGTAAAATTGTATCCAGCAAGGACCCAGATCTCCTCTGCAGCACGAACATCAGTGCCCAGAAGCACAGTGCCAACATCGGAGGGGAGGCCTCGCAAGCTTTGGGGGGTTGGGGTTTTGGGATCATAGGGTCTAGGGCTTTGGGTTTAGGGTTTAGGGTTTAAGTTTTAGAGTTAAGGGTTTAGGGTTTAGGGGTTTAGGGTTTAGTGTTTAAGGTTCAGGATTTAGGGTTCAGGGTTTCGGGTTTCGGGTTTCGGGTTGAAGGTTTAGGGTTTGGGGTTTGGGTGTAGTATAGGC